ACAGTGGTACGGTTCTGCCTCCGGCGTCACGTACGGCGTTGAAAACGACATGTGGGTCACCGTTGAAGAATGGACGGATCTCGATGCGACCAAGACTGCGACGCACGGCTTCGCCGGTCTCACCGCGCACGTCATCGACATCGCCTCGAAGAAGCTGTACGCGACCGGCGCTTTCGGTCAAGGCGGCTTCGAAAAGGTTGTCGAATTCAACTGCGGCCACGAAGACTTTGTGTGCTTCTCTCCTTCCGGCTACAACGGCATCTTCGGTGGCGATGCCATGAAGACCGCCATCGTCGACCGACGCAAAGCCATCGCGGCGAAGCGCCCGGATGGCAACGACTGGGTGTACCCGCAAAACGTCGTTCCCGCGCGCATTTACGTCGGACGCAAGGGCTACAAGGCTGACGGCACCAAGTGCGGCGCCTCGTGCACGTTCCTCGAGCGCAACGGTCTCGAGTTTGGTCAACTGTACGGCTACGCCGTGCCGACAGCCACGACTGATCGCGACGCGTGGCACAAGGGCAAGGTGCGCACCGCATCACCGTCAACGCACACCGTCGCTGGTAAGTGGGCGAAGATCGCCTGGCAGTTCAACTCGTCCAATGTGAAGAACGTCGAGGAGTCCGACATGTTCCACTGGCAAATCGCACCCGTTCTCCCCAGCGGAGTCACTGGCGTGTACAAGTTCTGGAACGCCAAGGGTAACGATGCGGCTGGCGCCAAGACTGAGCACAACTCTCCATCTCCGGTTGGTGAGCAAAAGTTTGTGCAAGGCTCGACCGCTGGCTACTTTGGCATCTATGAAGTCCAATCGATGGTGTCCCAACTCACCAATGCCGCCGCGGGCGGTTTCCCGACGCACTTCGATGGTACCTACGAAATGATTGAAGGCGAGACGGACATTGACACGCGCGTCAACCTCTGCCCGGACGGCACCGGATGCACGCAAGGTCAAACTGCCAACGGTCGCACGCAAAAGTACATGAACGACGGCATAGAGAAGCGCACGTTTGAGGACATCGACGGTCTCGAATGGATCGCGGCGAAGAACTCGGCGAGTGCACTCAGCGTCACCCTCAATGGCGCTCCGTACGCGTACGACGACTACTTCGTGATCCAAGAGGATGGCGGTAACAAGTACGGCGAGCGCCTCATGGTCGCCAAGATGCCGGCGGCCAACACGAACGCGACGTACGACTTCATCGCCATGGCTGGTGGCAGCTTGAACACGCGCATGAAGGCTGGTGTGTCCGTTCCTCCGAACACCTTCAGCAGCGCGACGGCTTCTGAGTTCTCTGGCGTCGCCGACGCCTCCGGCGCTCTCCGTCAAACCATGATGGGCGGTGCGGCTCGTCGACTCGCTGAGCTCGACGTCGCCATGAACGACAAGACCATCCTCATCGGTCTTCAGCAACACTCCATCCGCGCGGGCGTGGTCAGCAAATTCGGCGCCGATCGCGGCGGTCAAATCTACATGTGGGACGCCGCCAACTTTTAGGCGCGACGCGTCGCGGCGTGTTCATTCGTACGAGCATCGTGTTCGCACGCGAATCCGCACCTTGCATCTCGCTTTTCATTAACAACCATCTAGCTAGACTTTAGGCAAAATTTAGGGTTTAGGGAATAGACATGGTTCAAGCATCTCAACGTGATTGGAGTTATTTGAAAACTGTGCGTGGGGAATACGACCGCGTTGGTGCAGCTAAGGACTCGAATCGTGGACTTCCGACACTCGAATTGAATGGCTGGGCGAGAGGCATTGATGGTTCGCCGCGTGAAAACATCCGCCGGGCGAAACGAAACCCTATTTGTAGGGTCCGACCGCGTGCGCGCATGTCTAGGGGTTCGAGTACCCTAAATATAGGGTTTTATCCAAACCCCAATATTAGGTTTTTATACCCTACACCTACACCTATATATAGGGTTCGCGCCCGACCCTAAACCCTCGCGGACACCGAAAACCTATTTTCAGGGCCCAGACGCGGCGCTCAGGGCGCTTCGGTGCGACGATCGCGCGTTCGCGCGCGGGGCTCGTCTCCACGAAGCGCTCGACCGCGCGCGCGCGCGCGCACGCGCGCGCGCGACGCACAGGGCGCGATCGCGCGCTCGTGGAAACGAGCCCACGCCGGTTGCGGCTCGACGAATGAATCGATCATCGCGATTATTATTTCACAAATAATTCACGTCTCGACGCCGAGGAGACGCGCGACGACGAGCGCGGTGTTCGCGTCGCGGGTTCTCACGGAACATCGAGCGCGCATTCGGAAAACCGCGCAGATCGACGCGACGCGCGATGCGCATGACCGAGCGCGTCGGTTTCGTGGTTTGATTTAATTAAATTAATCGTGCGCGGATCGATCTTCGCGCGCGTCCATCGCGCGCGCCCCGAAACCCCATCGCGGGCGCGAGATAACCGTCGCGAAGCGCGTCGCGCGTTCACCGATACCCACCGTCGCGCGCGGCGCCGATCGCGCGCGGACGCGCGCGATGAGTCGCGTGGTTATTTAATTCGACGCCGAATTTACCGTGCGCGCGAATTTACCGTGCGCGAGCGCGCGCGCGCCGTTTCGACGCGCGCGTCGACGCGCGCGCGCGATCGCGCGTCTCCATCGCGATCGAGCGTCATCATGAGCGCGCTCGCGCGCGCGGCGCCAGACGCGTTGTTTTCCCGCGTCGGGATTAATTTGTCAATTAATTTTTCGTCACGGACAAACGTCGTTTCATCCTCGCGCGTCGTCCACCGTACCATCACTCGCGCGCGTCGCGGCGTGACGCGTTCGCGCGACCGCGGCGACGGGCGCGACGTCGCGCGGCGCGACGCGCGCGAGTGATGCCGTCGTTTCGGCGCGATTTATTTATTATTAAATTATTCATCACGCGTACGCCAACGTCGGCGCCGCGCGCCCTCGTCGCGCGACGATTCGACGCGACACCACGGACGCTTGAGAGCGCGGGCGCCGCGCGCGTTCCGACACGCGCGTCGCGCGTTTCGACGCGCGCGCGCGCCGCGCCATGCGGCGCGTGTGAATTTAATTTAGTTTAATTTAATTTAATTCCGTGTTTCCGTTTCATTTAATTCCACGTGACGCGTCTCCGTTCACGCAGACGCGCGGCGCGGCGACGAATCCCATCGCGGGCGCGCGATGCGTCGCGTTTCACACGCGCGCGCGACGCTGGCTCGACACAAATCATTCCATCCAATTCTCAATCGCCGCGCGTTTCGACGCCTGTGGTTGAATTGAATGAATTGATTTCGCCGCCGGCATTCGACGACGACGACGCGTCATGAACACGCGCTGTCTCGTCTCGTCGTCGTTGTCGTCGTCGTCGTCGTCGATCACTCGAGAACCGCACGCGCGTCCGGCGCGTCGCGCTCTCGGTCGTTGGCGCACGTCCTAAACCCTGGACATTCCAGATTTTCCAATTTTCGCGCGTTTGAAATTTGGATTTTTTGAATCGTCAACCTTTCCAATCAGCGTCAGTCGATCTTTGCCGATGCGCGGCGTCGATGCACGACGCGCGCGAGTGTTAAACCCGAAACGGCAAAAGAAACGTCCGTCGCGCGTCAACAGACGCGTCGATCGCGCGCGGCGTCGCTCACATTTACGAGTCGTGTAGTGAAATAGTTTTCAAGTTGAAACGTTGATAAAACAACCGCTCCGTACAATCGCTCCGTACAATCCAAAGATTCAGCGATGAGAAAAGTAACGGGCACGATGCGGATCGCGGTTGAGCTCCCCAGAGTGCCCGACCGAGTGGTGTCGGCTCCAGAGGACGACACACGAATGAACGTCGGCGCCGAAAAGAAAAGTAGAGGACATACTTGGTAAAGCTGGCGTGGAATCGAAACGACATCTGTGAAACCGAACGTACGAACGGATCCGTGGAAGGTGGATTAGCCATCACGCGAGTACTCGAGCGCGAACGCATCTCTGTCGAAGACGACGGTCCAGGATCTTCGTTTCGGCAAAGGAGACAGAGCGTCTTTGAAGGATGATTTGGATTTGATTGCTTGCCAGTCCTCTCTCCTCTTTGAACGAGAGCGAGTCGCTTCCGCGCGGTTGGATGGAGCCGTAGCTTTGTTCGCACGCGAGTCGCCGGTACGGGCCATCACGAAATAGTGCGAATGCGCGCGGTTCGTGATAATTATTATGGGTTCAATCACGCGTCGAAGTAACGGACATTTCGGGACGTCGTTTTGATTTGGATTTCGCGAACGCGTCGCAAAAGCGCGTCGTGACCGACGAGTTGGATTCTCAAAGTACAGCTATAACCACCTGAGACACATGAAATCTCTCTGCGCATCACACAAATGAGACATCTCCCGAACGACCGAGAGACGTGTCTCACGTAAAATGTGTAGCCGCGACGAGTGAGCGTCGATCGTCACGCGCGTCGCGCGCGCCCCACGAGGCTGAAGCCCACGCTCGAGAGAAGCGTGGACACCGTCGAGGCTTGAACAAGTCCCGTGAGCGGTGACGTTCACACCTCGGGGGTCAGAGCAAAAGTAAATCTCACGGCGATCGCGTGATTCGCGTCACATGAGACGGCGTCGTCAGAGGATGAAACAACAGCGTATTCAAACCCCCGAGGAATGCCTCTCCAGTGCCAATGATAGCACTCCAAGGGAATGTGCTTGGTGTGCCGCGGTGACCGTGCGAGATGATACGCGCCGTGCGAGGTAATTCGACAGACGCTCGAGACGCAGCCAGAGCGCGGAGGCGATGACGCGTCCGTCGTCCAATCACGCTGGAAGGATACTGAGGAATACTAGCCAGGAAGGATGGATCGCTGGGATTGACGATGCGGACGAGATATCGTCAGAACGAGCGGAGTTCGCCGATGATTGCTCTCCGCGCGCGTCGCGGTCGATCCATTGTACGTATGTGTGGGGTCCGTCGCGGTGTCCCGTGGTTGACTCCGCAGCTGCGTTGATCTGTATCGACGCGGCGACGAGACATAGCTGTGTGTTCGCCCTAGATGGAAATCCGAAAAACAGTACGGTTGTTGGAGAAGCCTTTTTGAAACACTCGACGCGTGTCGAGGAGGATTTGGGTAAAATGAACAAGAAGAGGAGCTTTTCGCTTTTCCAATCAGTCCTCGGACCACGCCGTCGGTGTAACGTCGCCGCAAGGGCAGACATCGCTGTAGCTCGTAGTTCACGGGTAGACTAGCCGCGAAGAAACAACTCAGACAGTTGATGCGATAGTCGCGGGGAATCAATCAATCTATAAACACACTCGTGCACAAAAGAACTCGTGTGCGACGGTTCAAAAAGCAGCGGTGGAGTAAGATTATATATATACTTCGTACGATTTTACTGACGCCGATTGGGCGGGGCAAAAGATGTCGAGAAGCGAAGAACCCAAAGTTACGCGAGAGGACTCTCGAATCATTTCAATGTTCTCTGTGAACAGATTTTCTCAGGAAACATTCAAGGATATATAGATGCGAGAATGAAAGAAGGTATGGTTCGCGGTGATACGTTGAACACCTATGAACACTACCTTGAATCGGTCGAACGAAATGAAATCCAACCCTTCAAAAGCAACAGCACTAGTAAAAGCTAGTGAAAACTAGTATGATGTTCATTCATATTGCACGACTACACGGGCTCGCGAAAGCTAGCGATTAGCAGTGACTGAAGCAAGGCCGAGCACAGCTTCACCGCGCCCTGCCGAGCCGAAGGGATGCTCCAAGGGTGCAAGAGGGAGAACAGTCGAGGACTAGTGAAGGCTAAGGGGGTGTGTTAGAATTATTGTGAGTACGTGACGAGTTATGACTCAAGACAGGTAGACTCTTGTTTCGAGGCAACGCGCTTACACGTTATAATAATCATCAGATTTTCACGCACAGAACGCGATCACACAGGCCGGGCGACATCGAGCCAGTGCTGGTGTACTGCTACATTTTTCAATATTTCCAACTCACGGATCCGCAGGCGAGCCTTGACGACGCGCGACACCGTTCGTCGCGCGCGGTGAACCCATCCGTTCGCGCCACGCGCGGCGCACCGGAAGACGCGCGCGCGATCGGATGGAAGCGACGGCGGCGGATGGGGTCGGGGACACAAAAGCGACGGCGTCCGCGAGCGAGCGCGTCGCGGCGGAGGACTCGAGAGAGTCACCGTCGTGTGAAACGAACGTGAACGCGTCAGAGTTGGAGGAGAGCGCACCGACGTCGAACGCGTTCGCGACGTCGAACGCGTACGATCTCGGGAACGCGTACTCGGACGCGAACGAGACGACGCCGAAGACGCAGCAGAACACGGCGAAGAGGCGAGCCAGCGCGGCGGCGTGCGCGGTGAAAATGGCCGAAGAGAAGAAGAGGAGAGAAAGAATGGGAACCATGCTCGATCCGGATGTTGATTTCTCATCGTTTCCAATCACGTTACCGTCGGAAGTGCGAGGGGCGTCCACGGACGGTGGTCGCGCACCCGCCGCGGCGCACTGTCGCGGATGTCGACGAAGTCTTCCGATGGACTTGCACTTCGATACCGACAAAAAGACGTGTCGACAGTGTTTGAGCCGACAACGGCTAAAGTGGAGAAAGACGGCGCACAAACCGACTGACGCGTGAGCGCGAGAGACAGAGACGCCCGCGGTCGATGCGGGTGTTTTCTTACGCCGCGGAGTGAGTGTACGTGCGCGCGTTCACGGTACAACAACTCGCAGTCTTCACGGAACGATTTGAAGCACTTCGTAGGTGGTGGCGGACACGCGAAATCAATCCGATATAGAAACTTAGCGCGCTTTTAATCGTTACATTTACCGTTACATCTTTGAACATTTCTAATCGAACATTTCTAATCGACATTTCTAATCGACATTTCTAAACTCTTTCTTTTCAATTCGTCTCCTCTCTTCGCGACGTCCAAGGGTGGCTAGTCACACAGACGGCGTCCAAAACGAGCCTCGGATCGCGGCGCGTGTGGACGCACATCACAACTCCCATCGTCTCGTGTGCTTCTCGTGCGTCGTGTCGCACGTCGGCGATCCATTCCAACCGATCGACGTGCGTCTTTTTTGGCTCGCTTGTGTTTCCACGTGGTAGTCGTCTTCGTCTTCGGGCGACGCCCCCTCAACAGTGCTCGGATACGACTCATTGAGCGGTTGCGGTGAAGATTCTCGTCTGAACGCGTACCAGGTGTGCGGATCGTTCACGTCCGCGCGCTCGAGTCTCACGGCGACGTCGCCGTACGCGTGGAGACCTATGACATCCGAACGTGCGTGTCTTTGCGCGAGCGTCCGGAGCGCGACAATCTCAAGCTGATTCTTCTTGGGCTCCGTCGGCGTTTCGCTCGCGGTATCTGCGTCATTATCCCGCGTGATTTCGAGCGACAAATCCGGATCACTTCCCGAGCGCTCGAGCGAGCCCGAGCAGGGCAAGAACATGTCGATGTGCGCCCCGGCGCCATGAAACGTGCGTTGCTTCGACCCGCCCCCACGAAGAGGTTCGGTCGCTTTGATGTGAGCCTGTGCGAGTACGATTGAGGCGACGTCGTCGCCCTTCAAATCGCACGGATGCGACAGTCTCTGTAAGAGCGCGTCGACTGAAACGGTACAGGCGCTGACGTCACTCGCGACGCACTGCGAAACGATGAACACGCGTTTGGGAAACTGGAACGGAATGAGTGCGAGCCAGAGATCCGAAGCGTACGCGCAAAAATCGATGGTACTACCAACGAATATGTGCGCGACGCATTGCGTGCGCTCGCGCGTCACTTCGTTCACGTCGTCGACGAGATCAGCGTACGTCGCGTCGCGAACGACGGCATCACGAGCGAGCCTGGCGGAGTGGGATGAAATCAAACTGAGTGTGGCGCTCCCAGACTTTGTATACCGCTCCAGTGAAATGAAGATGGGACCAGCCCCCGGAAAGACTGGTGTGCAGCTCGCCGCGTACGTTCGGCCGACGAGACGAAGCACGTTATTCACGTCGAACACCTCCGTCGAGACGCTGCCTCCGCGCTGCGACGTCCTCGCAAACGTGAAAACCACCCTCGCGGGTTCGCCGTCATTCGGAAGATCGAAAACGCTGAAAAACGTTCGACGGACGTCGTCGCGTGTCCGGTGTGCGTCGTGACTTTTTTTTCGAAGCGCGGTCACCAACTCCGCGACCCGAGTCGGTGTGAAATTGGCTCCATCTTGCACGATCTCGCGCAGCCGGTCAAGACACGAAGTGCACAAGTCGTGCCTCTGTGGGACGCCTTGGCACAGAGGCACCTCAACGAGGGTTTGCGAATCCACGTCTCCGCACGCCTCGCACGCGCGCGCGCGAGACGAGTAAAACTCATGAATGATCATTTTCTGTACCACATCGCACGCGAACGCCACTGGTCTAGCCGACGTGCGCTTCGCGGGTGTGCAATCGTCACGAAGCTTCATTCTCGACTGAGACAAACCGTGCGTTCCACCCCACACGGGAAGCTCTACGTTCTCGTCGGGTCGCGTGTCGTCGTTGTTGTGCCGACCAGCTGCTTTACGCGCTTGAGAGAGGGCGGTCCAAGCGGTATTGCACGCGGAGCATATTCCGTGCTGTCCATATTTTTTGTACTTTTTTCGTTCTTTCTCCAAGGTAAAGATTGGGCACTCAAATAGCGTTGTTCCGAAACAGGTGAAACCATTCAAACGTTGGCTGCACGCCTGGCATACACTTTCCCCATCACGGAGCTTGGCGCGACCGGCGTCGTACGTATTCAGTCCGTTCAACGAGTACTGCGCGTCGCGAAACGTCGGAGCGAGTTTGTTCACCGCCTGCGCGTGTGCTTGAAAATTGAAACCCATGCATTTGCCGCCGGACGACTGTGTTCCATAACACAGCACTCCAGCGCTCACCAGCGCGCGATGCCGCGACTCGTGCTCAGTTCCCAACACCTCTGCGACAGTGACAACGAGCGAGTGCTCGCCGCGATTTCCACTCATGTTTCCTTTCGATATTGGGCGCTCCTTTCGGTGGATTTTTCTCAGGGAGAAATTTCAAAGTTTCAACTCAACTGTTCGGGAGTCCCGTCGACGTCGCCGCGGTATCGTATGTTTGAGTATCGAACGTGAATTGACTGTGAAATGGGCGTGGGCGTGGGCGTTGAGCGCTTGTGCAGTTGAGAACGAAATCGACGTGCGAACGATTTCTGGCGACATGAAACGGCTTTTTCGCCTTTTCGCGAGTACCACGAGAGGCACGAGGGCGAGGGCTACCTCTGGCTTTTCGTTGGACGTGATGGAAACAAAAAATTGTCTGAGATTCAATTTTACGACTCGTACTAGTGGCGCTAAAACACTAGAACCTCCCAAACGCGCTCAAATAGTCGCGCGATGATTGGTACCCCACCTGTCACGCGGCACATTCCTGGCATTCACTATACATTTTCCTTACGTACGAAAGCTTCTCATCTCTGGCTTGCCTTCTTTGCGACGACAAGCGTTTCCTCTGTACTTTCACTTTCTCCCTCAACTCTGGTGTGGTCGTGAACCCGCGCCCGTTCTGGCTGAGTTTTTCATACGAACATTTTACGAAACAAGAGTCTTTTGTTCACATGAATATTCATTCTGTTCTTTTGGATTTCTCAGAATCGTTCGTCAATTTGTGTTTGAAGCAACGCACACATCGTGTGGCTTGGCTTGATCACGAACACGTCTAGACGTTCGGCTCGCCTGCGCCTGAGGATTGAATGAAAAAGTACGGCGACCATCCATCCGTCGGGCCACACCGCTGTTCTCACCTGCTCTGAGCGCGCGTAGAAAATTGTGATTTTATTTCATTTACGAAAGTCTTTCATACCGCCACGAGCGCAAAGAACACGATAAGTCGTAAGAAAAAGTATCCATTTATGTAGTCTTCTTCCCCTTCGCGGCGCTGTTTAAAAATCTGCCCTTTTGGTACACATTCATATCGTAGCGCTTCGCGTGAAGTGACAAAAATCGTGTTTTTACCTCTGATGATGCGTTTCTTTCTTCAACGCATTGTATTTGTCGGGCGAGCTTTTCTGTATATCCATCAAAGACTCTCTCTGTCCATCTCGCGTTCATTCATCAATATTGATAGGTCAATCATCTACGGTAGAGCTGTAAATCGTACCGGTTTATTCTCAGCCTATCCAACAACGCCGTTCGCTCTGTATTGCGGACGCACGATGAAAACACTGTCGTAGTCCATTCAGTCTTATGATATTCGCAGTAGTTGCAGATTTACGGTTCAGAGCCTCTTGACGATCGCTACACAACTTGGATGATTTGAAACGCACAGGCGTTTGTTTCACATACGACGGCGTTCGTTTGCCACGAGGGCTGTTACTTCCAAGTCAAAGAATTCATGTACCCTACTAATATTAGTATCTCTATATATTATGGTCAACTCGAACGACTCGTACTGCAATTGCGGTACGAGCGCGGTACCGCTGTCCGGCCTGTTATACTTTGTTTTACACATCAATCATATTTTCGAAGAGCGACGGCATCCTTTTATACTTTAATTATGCCCGTTCTTTTCGCACGGTGTGCGTATTCGACTCTCTTTGTTCTGGAAATGGAGGGTTTTCATTTCATAAAGAGAGTAGTAAGAGCACGTGAAGTTGACAGTTTGTTTTACGCAAGAGTTCGCAGGAGTCCTCCAAGTGGTCGTATCGCAAATCCAAAGGTCATCGTCGCTCCTGCTAAATCCAGTTGAAATCGTACTTCTTTGAATCTTCCGAACACCCTCCCGCTCTGGGATGCATCACATCTGGGTGTCTGCGAATTCACACCGCTCGATTGTGAAACGGACGGAGGCACCTTTCTTTGCCATAATGTGTTAGGGTTTAAGAAACAGTTGGCTTAAGGTAAAACTGTACTTGCGACAGACACATCCGTGTGAGCGGGGAGGGTTCGGCGATGTCTAAACGCGCCCCTTTACCTTCTGCACGTATGTCCTGTTCATCCGTATCCTCCGTCACAAACCTGTTGCTCAGGTGAGTGAAGGATTTGATTTGTACCTTTGCGTGCGTTCATCAAGCGCGTTGACGGACTGTTTAGGTACCATCTCGACTCTCCCGTGAGAGAGTTTGTTCCAGAGGTGGTCACCGTACGCGCGAGAATCGTGAATCATCTCGTCGTGCACACGCTCGTTGTACATTGATTTCCAGTTTGCGTAGTGGATTTTATAAAAAGCGTCTTCTCCACACATGTTTACTTTCGTGTCTTTGCGTGCGCGCACAGTTGCGGTGATTAGTAAAGGACCCACGCAACCTCAACACTTGGTATCGCATTCTGCTATTCTGAAGCTTTCAAGGCACGTTTTCACACAGCCATGGCGAGCTGCGCAGGCGAGGAACGCACGATGAACGACGTCGTCGGACTCTCCGCACGCGTCGTGAAGCCCGCGCGGAATTTTCAGGAAGAATATATTATATCCGTGTCCAGGTAGTCACACGCCTCCGAACGCGTACAGTGAACAATATCGCATGAAGTCTGTGACATGTAAATAGCAATATGCACCTGACTTGACTTGCTGATGTACTACATGTATACGAACAAAGCGCGTCGCTCGTCACTTTACGCGACGGCGCGCGTTCGGTACGAGCGCTCTCGGAAGTGTGCGCACGTATAGGACGTACACGCGACACGGAACGACGACACGTGTGCTGAAAGACACATCGAGCGCCCATCAAAGACGTTGGACGCATCGAGCGACGCGCGCACGCAGTTTCCAGACGTGACGCCCGCGCGCGCCCGTCAAAATGGACGCGCGCGGAACGACGCCGCATCGCCGCTGGGCGTGTTTCATAGCCGACACTGTGTCCTATGCGACGTTCGTCCACCACACGTACGAGATCGTCTGTGAAAACGCACTTCAAATACGTCTCGACAGCGTGTGCGTCACGACGAGCGCATCCTGGGGATGGACGCGAGGCGACGCGGCCAAGCGCGCGAGCTTTGGGTGACCCGACGTGAGCCGCGTGCGCACGTATTTCCACGTCGCGCACTCGCACGTATCATCACGCACCCGTGGCGACGTGTACTGCCCACCGTGACAGCGCGACGACGCGTGTGGAGGCGTTCGCGTGGCCTACTCGCGCGCGCGCCGAGCTGCGCGACGCATCTATACGGCGACGTACGCTCGCGCCGCGCGCGTTTTCGAGCGCCTCGCGCGTGCGCATCGTAGCGCGTGTGTTCCACGACGCGAGCGATCACCGCGACGCGCCGTCGCCGCGCGCGACGCGTGTGCGCCTTCGTTGCGGCGCGTCCACGTCTGCACCTCGAAAGCGCCCCGGCCCGAGCCGTCGAGTCGGCGTGCGCGTTTTCATTTGGATCGTTTTCATTTTTTTCATTTTCGCTCGTGCGATGATAAATACATTGGGTAAAACACACACCACAAATGTACCCAATGTATGAGCATATGTCGTATTTGTAATTTGTACTACACGTCATTTTCGCATCGATGTGTGTATTTATGTATACATGGCGATGCGCACTCGGATTATACGTCCAACACAAACCAACGTGGACGGCGACAACCCGGGCAGCGACGGCGTGTTTTTTGGGAGCTGGAGGATGTGGTTTCCCAGGGGACGCTCGCGGCGTTCGACGCGCGCGCGTGCGCGTACAGGATCGAATACGACGACGACGACGACGACGAAACGTCCTTCGAGCCTTCGCGCGAGGCGGGGTCGCTCGTCAAGTGTCGTCAATCTCACCGTGCGAGACTGAAACGACGGCCAAAACGGGCGGAAGTGCGCTCATTTGTAGTACGAGAGCGTGCTGAATGTACGCGTGCGTGCATCGGTACATGTCTCTCTGTACCGCGATAATGACGGCAACAAAGTCTCTGATGTAGCGTTCAAAAGTCGCTAAACTTTCGCGTTTGGGTCCGTTCCACGGCGTGCGTCCAATGGTTGAAATACGGCAAATGTGGGGAACGTTTTTTTGGGGTAAAGTAGACTTTAACCTGACCTGAATCTTACTCTGCTTTCGTTTTCCTCAGCTGCGGCGCGAATATCGGTCTCGTTGCCTTTTGTCGTCGACTAATATGTATGCATATCCATCTGCATTCGTCGATGATCTCGCTGGTGATGTTTCAAACGGCTGTGCGCGTCAACCACCGCCGTCAGCGTTCTCGGCTCTGCTACCGTCATTAATTTCTGTATCACCCGCACGATTCACGTCCCAGGAAACGTGCAGCACCCAACGTAGTGAAACGGTTCACTCCTTCACGCGTTTACGAGGCACATTCGGCCGCCGCGTTGAACGCGCGTGTGGCGAAGTATACGTTCCACGATACTGCTAGGTACCATGTTGACTCTCCCGTGAGAGAGTTTGTTCCAGAGGTGGTCACCGTACGCGCGAGAATCGCGAATCATCTCGTCGTGCACACGCTCGTTGTACATTGATTTCCAGTTTGCGTAGTGGATTTTATAAAAAGCGTCTTCTCCACACATGTTTACTTTCGTGTCTTTGCGTGCGCGCACAGTTGCGGTGATTAGTAAAGGACCCACGCAACCTCAACACTTGGTATCGCACGCTATTCTGAAGCTTTCAAGGCACCTGTTCACACAGCCATGGCGTGCTGCGCAGGCGAGGAACGCACCATGAACGACGCCGTCGGACTCTCCGCACACGTCGTGAAGCCGCGCGGACTTTTCTGGAAGAATATATTATATCTGTGTCCAGGTAGTCACACGCCTCCGAACACGTACAGTGAACAATATCGCATGAAGTCTGTCACATGTAAATAGCAATATGCACCTGACTTGACTTGCTGATGTACTACATGTATACGAACAAAGTGCGTCGCTCGTCACTTTACGCGACGGCGCGCGTTCGGTACGAGCGCTCTCGGAAGTGTGCGCACGTATAGGACGTACACGCGACACGGAATGACGACACGTGTGCTGTAAGACACATCGAGCGCCCATCAAAGACGTTGGACGCATCGAGCGACGCGCGCACGCAGTTTCCAGACGTGACGCCCGCGCGCGCCCATCAAAATGGACGCGCGCGGAACGACGCCGCATCGCCGCTGGGCGTGTTTCATAGCCGACACTGTGTCCTATGCGACGTTCGTCCATCACACGTACCAGATCGTCTGTGAAAACGCACTTCAAATACGTCTCGACAGCGTGTGCGTCACGACGAGCGCATCCTGGGGATGGACGCGAGGCGACGCGGCCAAGCGCGCGAGCTTTGGGTGACCCGACGTGAGTCGCGTGCGCACGTATTTCTACGTCGCGCACTCGCACGTATCATCACGCGCCCGTGGCGACGTGTACTGCCCACCGTGACAGCGCGACGACGCGTGTGGAGGCGTTCGCGTGGCCTACGCGCGCGCGCGCCGAGCTGCGCGACGCATCTATACGGCGACGTACGCTCGCGCCGCGCGCGTTTTCGAGCGCCTCGCGCGTGTGCATCGACGCGCGTGTGTTCGACGATGCGAGCGATCACCGCGACGCGCCGTCGCCGCGCGCGACGCGTGTGCGCCTTCGTTGCGGCGCGTCCACGTCTGCACCTCGAAAGCGCCCCGGCCCGAGCCGTCGAGTCGGCGTGCGCGTTTTCATTTGGATCGTTTTCATTTTTTTCATTTTCGCTCGTGCGATGATAAATACATTGGGTAAAACACACACCACAAATGTAAGCTTAAGGTCCTGTGGTGATCGCGTCGTAGCGCGTTCTGTGCGTAAAGATCTGATGATGATTAAAAATAGCGAGCCTGTTGACTCTAACTAGAGTCTACACGTCATGAGTCATAACTCATCACTTATCAAGACTCGGGAAGGCTATACAATCATATTTAGCCCGCAACAATCCTAACACACCCCCTTAGCCTTCACTAGTCTTTAACCGCTCTTCTTCGTGCAAGATGAACTTCATACTAGTTCTCATTAGCCTTGACTAGTGCTGTTGCTTCTGAAGGTTGTGAGCGTCGCGACTACACTGAAAGTATCGTGGTAGTCTTTTAACCAAACTTGGGTGAATCCCTGCACTACTAGGCTGGATTTCAACGTCCCATCTGGTTTTACTTTATCTACCCACTTCGTGCCGCATATATTCGCTCCTGGCTTCACATCAACTGCTTCCAATGTATGTTCTAGTAGCCCATTAAATTCCTTCTCTCGGGATGGTGTGAAATCGACTGTCGACTCATCAACTACTATCCCGTAGTCCTCCATGTGTGCCACAGCAGTGGCATAAACAACATGCGCTACGGGTGTAGATTCTCCGCGAATATCGAAAGGTATCTGTGGGTAATCACCCTCATACTTGGAAACTAGAAACATGTGGTGTGCCCGGAGATCTTGCTCCGATACTCTACCATTCTTACTGAAGTGATTAATGAGCTCTTCGATACCTTCCGCTGGCTGATCAGTTCCAGCAGTTGGATCGTTTCCTTCATCAATGCCTCCTTCCTTCGTTTCGGAGCTAATGGCATACCCAGTAGGCGCCCAACCTGAATTTTGGAATGATCCTGCGTGCTCTAGCTTTCTAGGTGGCACTACATCCCGCTCCTGAAACGGTTCAACTGCGTCAACTCCTTCGCCTCTATCTGCGACGCTAGGTTCAGCTGACAAATCGACTCCTTCATCTGTGACCAACAGATTAGGTTCAGTCGGCACTGGCGGTTGCCCTTTTGGTTCCCGCTGCTTGACAATTTCTTCGGCTACCGGTTGCACTTGTGGACCCCCGTCGAGGTTAACATCACAATCTTACTCAAGCTCTGATGACTCTGCGTCACCAGCCTCAGATGACTCTACGTCACCAAGCCATTCAGTCAGGTCTGAACGGTTGAGCGTGCCCCGCGGGTTATTGAAGTCGGCGTTCAAGCTCGCCTTTAGTGCGTCAATGTTGCGCACATAACTACTGTGGTCAAAAATAAGTTCACTGGTAAATTTTACGTGGCCCTTCCTGCTGGTTGCCTTTTGCAACACCGCATTCGGCACAACAACCACGAACTTCCTGGGGGTTCCTTTAATTCAGGTGGTACCCTTTTGGCATCTACCCCAGTGATCCATCTGATCTCAAATTCCCCTGCTCATGTGGCAAGGTTATAAATCCCTTTTCTCGGCTAAGACACATTGTGCAATCCTTGAAACTCTCCAATATATCTGGGCAACTCATAGTGCCCGCTCCTGGGAGGTTTGCATCTGGCGCGCAACTTGCTTCAAAGGTAAGATCAAATAACTCACCTTCTGTGTCCTGCAGATAAACTGTTGCATAATCTGCGCACTCTTGACTCAACTGTCATATATCGCTGAGCATAACCCTTGTAAATTGACATTCTGCATTCTGCCTAATTTGGGGATCGACAGATTGGACAACGCCTTTAATCTCATTTAACCCTATCGACTCAGATCTAAATCTTGAATCGATAACAAATTTGAGGTCAGCGGCCGCAAGCGCGGCCGTGGATGCTTTCTCCTTTCGTTTGCCCTGGCCCGCTGACGACTTGAGTCGGTACATCAACGCCTCGCAGACTGGATCAGTAAACTCCACAGTGTTTGCGGGAGTGATCTCGCCCAACTTGGCGATCGCGGCGATGTCATGTGCAAGGAACATGATCTCTGGCGACTCTTCGTCTCCCCAAAATAGATCTTGCGCAACTCGAACGACCTGTGCTAACGCGAAACACCTACCACCCGCGCGGGTACAACGAAGAGAGTTGTTTAGCAACCATCGATCGATGTAAGCTTAAGGTCCCGTGGTGATCGCGTCGTAGCGCGTTCTGTGCGTAAAGATCTGATGATGATTAAAAATAGCGAGCCTGTTGACTCTAACTAGAGTCTACACGTCATGAGTCATAACTCATCACTTATCAAGACTCGGGAAGGCTATACAATCATATTTAGCCCGCAACAATCCTAACAACAAATGTACCCAATGTATGAGCATATGTCGTATTTGTAATTTGTACTACACGTCATTTTCGCATCGATGTGTGTATTTATGTATACATGGCGATGCGCACTCGGATTATACGTCCAACACAAACCAACGTGGACGGCGACAACCCGGGCAGCGACGGCGTGTTTTTTGGGAGCTGGAGGATGTGGTTTCCCAGGGACGCTCGCGGCGTTCGACGCGCGCGCGTGCGCGTACAGGATCGAATACGACGACGACGACGACGACGAAACGTCCTTCGAGCCTTCGCGCGAGGCGGGGTCGCTCGTCAAGTGTCGTCAATCTCACCGTGCGAGACTGAAACGACGGCCAAAACGGGCGGAAGTGCGCTCATTTGTAGTACGAGAGCGTGCTGAATGTACGCGTGCGTGCATCGGTACATGTCTCTCTGTACCGCGATAATGACGGCAACAAAGTCTCTGATGTAGCGTTCAAAAGTCGCTAAACTTTCGCGTTTGGGTCCGTTCCACGGCGTGCGTCCAATGGTTGAAATACGGCAAATGTGGGGAACGTTTTTTTGGGGTAAAGTAGACTTTAACCTGACCTGAATCTTACTCTGCTTTCGTTTTCCTCAGCTGCGGCGCGAATATCGGTCTCGTTGCCTTTTGTCGTCGACTAATATGTATGCATATCCGTCTGCATTCGTCGATGATCTCGCTGGTGATGTTTCAAACGCCTGTGCGCGTCAACCACCGCCGTCAGCCACCGCCGTCAGCGTTCTCGGCTCTGCTACCGTCATTAATTTCTGTATCACCCGCACGATTCACGTCCCAGGAAACGTGCAGCACCCAACGTAGTGAAACGGTTCACTCCTTCACGCGTTTGCGAGGCACATTCGGCCGCCGCGTTGAACGCGCGTGTGGCGAAGCATACGTTCCACGATACTGCTAGGTACCATGTTGACTCTCCCGTGAGAGAGTTTGTTCCAGAGATGGTCACCGTACGCGCGAGAATCGTGAATCATCTCGTCATGCACACGCTCGTTGTACATTGATTTCCAGTTTGCGTAGTGGATTTTATAAAAAGCGTCTTCTCCACACATGTTTACTTTCGTGTCTTTGCGTGCGCGCACAGTTGCGGTGATTAGTAAAGGACCCACGCAACCTCAACACTTGGTATCGTACGCTATTCTGAAGTTTTCAAGGCACCTTTTCACACAGCCATGGCGTGCTGCGCAGGCGAGGAACGCACCATGAACGACGCCGTCGGACTCTCCGCACGCGTCGTGAAGCCGCGCAGACTTTTCAGGAAGAATATATTATATCCGTGTCCAGGTAGTCACGCTCCTCCGAACACGTACAGTGAACAGTATCGCATGAAGTCTGTCACATGTAAATAGCAATATGCACCTGACTTGACTTGCTGATGTACTACATGTATACGAACAAAGTGCGTCGCTCGTCACTTTACGCGACGGCGCGCGTTCGGTACGAGCGCTCTCGGAAGTGTGCGCACGTATAGGACGTACACGCGACACGGAACGACGACACGTGTGCTGAAAGACACATCGAGCGCCCATCAAAGACGTTGGACGCATCGAGCGACGCGCGCACGCAGTTTCCAGACGTGACGCCCGCGCGCGCCCATCAAAATGGACGCGCGCGGAACGACGCCGCATCGCCGCTGGGCGTGTTTCATAGCCGACACTGTGTCCTATGCGACGTTCGTCCATCACACGTACCAGATCGTCTGTGAAAACGCACTTCAAATACGTCTCGACAGCGTGTGCGTCACGACGAGCGCATCCTGGGGATGGACGCGAGGCGACGCGGCCAAGCGCGCGAGCTTTGGGTGACCCGACGTGAGTCGCGTGCGCACGTATTTCTACGTCGCGCACTCGCACGTATCATCACGCGCCCGTGGCGACGTGTACTGCCCACCGTGACAGCGCGACGACGCGTGTGGAGGCGTTCGCGTGGCCTACGCGCGCGCGCGCCGAGCTGCGCGACGCATCTATACGGCGACGTACGCTCGCGCCGCGCGCGTTTTCGAGCGCCTCGCGCGTGTGCATCGACGCGCGTGTGTTCGACGATGCGAGCGATCACCGCGACGCGCCGTCGCCGCGCGCGACGCGTGTGCGCCTTCGTTGCGGCGCGTCCACGTCTGCACCTCGAAAGCGCCCCGGCCCGAGCCGTCGAGTCGGCGTGCGCGTTTTCATTTGGATCGTTTTCATTTTTTTCATTTTCGCTCGTGCGATGATAAATACATTGGGTAAAACACACACCACAAATGTACCCAATGTATGAGCATATGTCGTATTTGTAATTTGTACTACACGTCATTTTCGCATCGATGTGTGTATTTATGTATACATGGCGATGCGCACTCGGATTATACGTCCAACACAAACCAACGTGGACGGCGACAACCCGGGCAGCGACGGCGTGTTTTTTGGGAGCTGGAGGATGTGGTTTCCCAGGGACGCTCGCGGCGTTCGACGCGCGCGCGTGCGCGTACAGGATCGAATACGACGACGACGACGACGACGAAACGTCCTTCGAGCCTTCGCGCGAGGCGGGGTCGCTCGTCAAGTGTCGTCAATCTCACCGTGCGAGACTGAAACGACGGCCAAAACGGGCGGAAGTGCGCTCATTTGTAGTACGAGAGCGTGCTGAATGTACGCGTGCGTGCATCGGTACATGTCTCTCTGTACCGCGATAATGACGGCAACAAAGTCTCTGATGTAGCGTTCAAAAGTCGCTAAACTTTCGCGTTTGGGTCCGTTCCACGGCGTGCGTCCAATGGTTGAAATACGGCAAATGTGGGGAACGTTTTTTTGGGGTAAAGTAGACTTTAACCTGACCTGAATCTTACTCTGCTTTCGTTTTCCTCAGCTGCGGCGCGAATATCGGTCTCGTTGCCTTTTGTCGTCGACTAATATGTATGCATATCCGTCTGCATTCGTCGATGATCTCGCTGGTGATGTTTCAAACGCCTGTGCGCGTCAACCACCGCCGTCAGCCACCGCCGTCAGCGTTCTCGGCTCTGCTACCGTCATTAATTTCTTTATCACCCGCACGATTCACGTCCCAGGAAACGTGCAGCACCCAACGTAGTGAAACGGTTCACTCCTTCACGCGTTTGCGAGGCACATTCGGCCGCCGCGTTGAACGCGCGTGTGGCGAAGCATACGTTCCACGATACTGCTAGGTACCATGTTGACTCTCCCGTGAGAGAGTTTGTTCCAGAGATGGTCACCGTACGCGCGAGAATCGTGAATCATCTCGTCATGCACACGCTCGTTGTACATTGATTTCCAGTTTGCGTAGTGGATTTTATAAAAAGCGTCTTCTCCACACATGTTTACTTTCGTGTCTTTGCGTGCGCGCACAGTTGCGGTGATTAGTAAAGGACCCACGCAACCTCAACACTTGGTATCGTACGCTATTCTGAAGTTTTCAAGGCACCTTTTCACACAGCCATGGCGTGCTGCGCAGGCGAGGAACGCACCATGAACGACGCCGTCGGACTCTCCGCACGCGTCGTGAAGCCGCGCAGACTTTTCAGGAAGAATATATTATATCCGTGTCCAGGTAGTCACGCTCCTCCGAACACGTACAGTGAACAGTATCGCATGAAGTCTGTCACATGTAAATAGCAATATGCACCTGACTTGACTTGCTGATGTACTACATGTATACGAACAAAGTGCGTCGCTCGTCACTTTACGCGACGGCGCGCGTTCGGTACGAGCGCTCTCGGAAGTGTGCGCACGTATAGGACGTACACGCGACACGGAATGACGACACGTGTGCTGAAAGACACATCGAGCGCCCATCAAAGACGTTGGACGCATCGAGCGACGCGCGCACGCAGTTTCCAGACGTGACGCCCGCGCGCGCCCATCAAAATGGACGCGCGCGGAACGACGCCGCATCGCCGCTGGGCGTGTTTCATAGCCGACACTGTGTCCTATGCGACGTTCGTCCATCACACGTACCAGATCGTCTGTGAAAACGCACTTCAAATACGTCTCGACAGCGTGTGCGTCACGACGAGCGCATCCTCAGAGGTATCTCGCGCCGACTCAAGAAAACCTAGCTCGCCGCGGACGCCTCGGCTCACTCGACGGAGGCCGTTCGTCCGCACGATCGTCCAGCGCGCACTCAGAGACACCACGAGGCATCCGTGAGCACGCACACACACACCGCAAACGTCATCGACGCGACGTGAAGCGCTCCACCGTCACGCGCCGTCCTCGAACGCGCCCCCCCTCCAGCGCGACGAAGCATCCGGCCCCGCGCGCGGTCTCCGGCGCGCCACCGCGCACCGATGCGTCGTCGCCGAATACATTGATCGATCGATAAGCGCGAGATTCGCGCGGAAAACACGGGCGACGATGCGCGACTGCGTGTCCGAATCGCGGGCGAAAAGGGGCAATTCAATTTCGTCTCGTACCCCAACGGCGTGCGTGCGTCCCGCGCGCACGCGTCGACGCCATGCCACTCGCGACGAGACGGCGCTCGGTACGTGTGAGTCGCGTTCGACGATTAAACCGAGCGCGCACCGACGGAGTGGCGTCCAAAGCGCGTGCGCGCGAGGGGTGCCGTACGTCCCGTCGCCTCACGGGTTTCCAAAACCCTGGATTCGAGCCGCCGCGCGAAATGCACACGGCTCAATTCAGAAATTCAAGGACCAAGGCCGCGTCCCGAACGGGGGCGTGTCTTTGTGCGCGTGATGGCGATTGGTATCTTATAATACACCTCAGCGTAACATGTACACATAATGATGGTGATGTGTCGTATACAGTATGAGTACACACACACGCGTGCGCATGTACCCCCGTTGGCCTTAGAGTGATCGATAGGCGGCTGTCCTTGTCAAAATGCTCAGTCCCGGGGGTCGGCCTTGACCCCTATTCCGGTACCTCCTAAGCCTATTCGACCAGCCCGCGGCGCGCCTGCACAGACGCCGCTCGATTACTCCTGTGTGTAATACTTATACGTTCTTTTGGACTATCACAATCGACTACGAGAGCGATAGCAACTGGGCTACGCGGGCGCGCGGTTTGCCAAGGCGTGCGCGTTGGACGCCGACGCGTGATGTCCATTTCATTATATTTTCTTCTCGTGCATATTTAATGAAAATAAACCCTAATATGCCAAAAACTAAACCCTACCTAAACCCTACAAAAGTGTGATTGGAAAGTGTGAGTGTGAGTGTGAGTGTGATTGGAAAAGTGTGAGTGTGATTGGAAAAGTGTGAGTGTGAGTGTGATTGGAAAGTGTGATCGTCCTTGATCAGGACTCATTCGTTATCCAAATGATCTTGTCCTGCTCGCGCGACGCGTGTTTGCCTTTACTATCATTCTCCATATTTAGAGCCCATTGAAGATAGGAAAGAGCCGAGCCTTTCCATCATAGAGTCGGAAAATCAACAAAACTCTAAAAAATTCTCCAAAATTTGCCAAAATTTTTGAGTTTTATTAGCAATCTCTTTTTCAGCCTACGCTGGTACCGTACCAGCGTGTACCAGGTGCAGCATATGCCTACACGCGTGTGCGCGCACGTCTCGTCAGGATGAGATTTAGCCACGCCTCTAAAATGATGCCTCCGCGAAACTGCGAGAGCGACGACGTCGAAAACCCGAATGACACACGACGCAACGAGTTGACCGCACGTGAGACGTCGCTGCTAGGTACGCGCGATGTGTCTCTAGACAACGTTCGAGGCGTTGTTGTCCTGTTCGTAATTTATTTCCACTACTATGAGTGTTGGAACGTGAACTGCAGACTCCACACGACCGATGCCATTCCGACACACAGATCAGCTTCTACAGACTGGATGAGAGTCGCATTATACATGTTTCAGTCACTCGTCATCGTATCTGGGCTAGTAAGGTCACACTCGAAAACCCTCCCACTGAAGGACATCGGCATTTACACGAGTTGGTTTGTGTTTGAGATGTTCGTGATGCACGTCTTCAAAGTGCGTGGAAACTCTTTTGGGCCCGCTTGGTTTCTTCTTGATGTCATACTGGGTCAGATTTACGTGCTCTTCACTCGTGCTTTCGGAATGTGTAGACGGGACTTGGTATTTTTTGCGTTTGTGCTCACTGTTGCCGCGTACGTGTGTTTCCCAGATATAAGTTATACGCGACCGTTCTGGGAAAAGTTCGAAGGTCATCTCTCTCCTCGATCATTCGCGCACACTCTCATTTTTGTGCTTTCGTCCAGCTTTTCAAAAGAAATCCTTCGCGTGCGAGAGAAAGTGCGCACTTCGTTGCGCGTCAGGCTTCTTTTGTATGTAGCTGTTGTATTTGTTTGGTACCAGTCCATCTACACTTCTGGAGATCATAGTTGCTCCATACTGTTTACGCAAGAACGATTTTCTAAGTGGGACCGTATTATGCGGGAACGATGTCAGCACAACACCTGGTGTTACTCACTGTTCCAAAGTCTCATCGTTTCAACTTCCATCGTACTGATTGCTCCTAGTTCTCAAGTCCCAATCATAAGCTGGATGGGTAAACGATCGGTGCTTCCATATATAGCACACATGTACTTCGTACACGGCAGTCTCAAGGACCTCGTGGACAGCACATTCGGGAGCATCGTACCCAGATTTATCATAGCAGTCCACGCGACTGTACCATTGCTGCTTAACATCGTGCTGAGTAGGTTCGACTTTGTTTTGAATCAAACAAAGCGCAGAACTACCCGTGGGTTTGAGGTATCATCTTGATTGGGTTGTTGAGATTTTCTGGTACAACAACACCGACGGCAAATTCGTCATCGCGTTGGTGATTCAGGAGCGACAAATCGAACGTGTTGTTGCCACCGATCTCGAGCACGTTATTGATGACGGACAACACGATCGCCATCGATCGAATATGTTGACAAAGCGTCCCTTCCGGGCGGTGTCGGGCGCGCGGCGCGGCGGTCGACCCAGCGCGCATGCGAAGTGTCTACGCCATCGAATTCAAATCGCTGGCAACAGCGGACGCAAAAGGAGATACACAGCGCTGTGAGGACGCGTCCAACGAGCGTACGCCTAACGACGACGTTCAAACGCCTCGTAAGATGGATGTAATTGTGTTTCCGAGTCCGTGTCGACCTGCGCTCGAGACAGTTGAGCGCACAGGACGACAACTCACAGACGAAGAGAGGACACAGCGAAATGGGAAGTTTCACGCAGCTGGTGAATGGTATGAAGACGACTGTTAGGTGAACGGCTTGAAGTTTGTGTACATGATTCAGAGCAATCTGCTACGTGACATATAGCGCAAACTCCCCGGATACGATTGTGCGTACGTTCGAATGGACGGCGCGAGAGCGCACGTAAAAGCCTGGGATAAAATCGGCGCGAATCGCATCTAGATACACGGTCAAAAGACATCTATACCCAATGTATGAACATACTAACATGGCGATGCGCACTCGGATTATACGTCCAACACAAGGACGGCGACAACCCGGGCAGCGACGGCGTGTTTTTTGGGAGCTGGAGGATGTGGTTTCCCAGGGACGCTCGCGGCGTTCGACGCGCGCGCGTGCGCGTACAGGATCGAATACGACGACGACGGCGACGACGAAACGTCCTTCGAGCCTTGGCGCGAGGCGGGGTCGCTCGTCACGTGTCGTCAATCTCACCGTGCGAGACTGAAACGACGGCCAAAACGGGCGGAAGTGCGCTCATTTGTAGTACGAGAGCGTGCTGAATGTACGCGTGCGTGCATCGGTACATGTCTCTCTGTACCGCGATAACGACGACAACAAAGTCTCTGATGTAGCGTTCAAAAGTTGCTAAACTTTCGTGTTTGGGTCCGTTCCACGGCGTGCGTCCAATGGTTGAAATACGGCAAATGTGGGGAACGTTTTTTTGGGGTAAAGTAGACTTTACGCTGACCTGCATCTTGCTTTGCTTTCGTTTTCCTCAGCTGCGGCGCGGATATCGGTCTCGTTGTCTTTTGTCGTCGACTAATATGTATGCATATCCATCTGCATTCGTCGATGATCTCGCTGGTGATGTTTCAAACGGCTGTGCGCGTCAACCACCGCCGTCAGCGTTCTCGGCTCTGCTACCGTCATTAATTTCTTTATCACCCGCACGATTCACGTCCCAGGAAACGTGCAGCACCCAACGTAGTGAAACGGTTCACTCCTTCACGCGTTTACGAGGCACATTCGGCCGCCGCGTTGAACGCGCGTGTGGCGAAGCATACGTTCCGCGATACTGCTAGGTACCATCTTGACTCTCCCGTGAGAGAGTTTGTTCCAGACGTGGTCACCGTACGCGCGAGAATCGTGAATCGTCTCGTCGTGCACACGCTCGTTGTACATTGATTTCCAGTTTGCGTAGTGGATTTTATAAAAAGCGTCTTCTCCACACATGTTTACTTTCGTGTCTTTGCGTGCGCGCACAGTTGCGGTGATTAGTAAAGGACCCACGCAACCTCAACACTTGGTATCGTACGCTATTCTGAAGTTTTCAAGGCACCTTTTCACACAGCCATGGCGTGCTGCGCAGGCGAGGAACGCACCATGAACGACGCCGTTGGACTCTCCGCACGCGTCGTGAAGCCGCGCAGACTTTTCAGGAAGAATATATTATATCTATGTCCATGTAGTCACACGCCTCCGAACACGTACAGTGAACAGTATCGCATGAAGTCTGTCACATGTAAATAGCAATATGCACCTGACTTGACTTGCTGATGTACTACATGTATACGAACAAAGTGCGTCGCTCGTCACTTTACGCGACGGCGCGCGTTCGGTACGAGCGCTCTCGGAAGTGTGCGCACGTATAGGACGTACACGCGACACGGAATGACGACACGTGTGCTGAAAGACACATCGAGCGCCCGTCAAAGACGTTGGACGCATCGAGCGACGCGCGCACGCAGTTTCCAGACGTGACGCCCGCGCGCGCTCGTCAAAATGGACGCGCGCGGAACGACGCCGCATCGCCGCTGGGCGTGTTTCATAGCCGACACTGTGTCCTATGCGACGTTCGTCCATCACACGTACCAGATCGTCTGTGAAAACGCACTTCAAATACGTCTCGACAGCGTGTGCGTCACGACGAGCGCATCCTGGGGATGGACGCGAGGCGACGCGGCCAAGCGCGCGAGCTTTGGGTGACCCGACGTGAGTCGCGTGCGCACGTATTTCTACGTCGCGCACTCGCACGTATCATCACGCGCCCGTGGCGACGTGTACTGCCCACCGTGACAGCGCGACGACGCGTGTGGAGGCGTTCGCGTGGCCTACGCGCGCGCGCGCCGAGCTGCGCGACGCATCTATACGGCGACGTACGCTCGCGCCGCGCGCGTTTTCGAGCGCCTCGCGCGTGCGCATCGTAGCGCGTGTGTTCCACGACGCGAGCGATCACCGCGACGCGCCGTCGCCGCGCGCGACGCGTGTGCGCCTTCGTTGCGGCGCGTCCACGTCTGCACCTCGAAAGCGCCCCGGCCCGAGCCGTCGAGTCGGCGTGCGCGTTTTCATTTGGATCGTTTTCATTTTTTTCATTTTCGCTCGTGCGATGATAAATACATTGGGTAAAACACACACCACAAATGTACCCAATGTATGAGCATATGTCGTATTTGTAATTTGTACTACACGTCATTTTCGCATCGATGTGTGTATTTATGTATACATGGCGATGCGCACTCGGATTATACGTCCAACACAAACCAACGTGGACGGCGACAACCCGGGCAGCGACGGCGTGTTTTTTGGGAGCTGGAGGATGCGGTTTCCCAGGGACGCTCGCGGCGTTCGACGCGCGCGCGTGCGCGTACAGGATCGAATACGACGACGACGGCGACGACGAAACGTCGTTCGAGTCTTCGCGCGAGGTGGGGTCGCTCGTCAAGTGAAGTGATGCCGAAACGGGCGGTCGCCTTTGTAGTACAAGAGAGAGCTTGATGTAAGTGTGCGCAGGGGTTGTACGAAGATCCGCCGCTTGATTCAGTCTCGCTATGGTGTCTACGTCGATATTCCATCGCCTCTTCTCCTCCTCATTTCGCATCGTGAGGACACTGCCGCGTCGCGTGTCTCACCCGGGGTATCCATACAAGACGAAAAACAAGTCCAAAACCAACCATTTTTCGGAATTTCTCGGAATTACCCAGCCTGACCTTAAGCCGAGAGTTTTAGAACCAGATCAGTGAAATGAGCTCCGCGACTGTCGCCACCGTCAAAAACCTTCTTAGCAAACGTTTTTGCCCAGGAGTCCTGTTTCACATCTACTCTTGACATGCGAATGGGTTTGTCGTATTCATCGGGTTGCATATGGTCTATTTCGTGTATCTCTTGAAAGCCGAAAGCGTGAAGGTATTGCAACATTTTCTCAGCAGCTTCCACGCCCATAACATTCGGAGAAAACTCCATAATGATGCATTTAACAAGTTTCCTTTTCAACAACTCTGACATCCCATACAAGGCTTTGTCCTCATGGCCTTCGACATCAAGCTTCATAACCGATATTTCGGTCTTGAGATCGAGCATCATATCTAAGCGAGATGCACGGACTGAGATACCACCTTCTTTCACGATGCCTATTCCTCCGAGATTGCCACTAGTTGCGTCCACTCTTTGTAAATGTGCGCCGTGACTATCGCTCACAGCGCCAAGCTTAAGTTGAAAACGATCTGAATACCCGTTTATGCAACCACTTAATGTAGCAAGTTCTGCCATGCGAGGTTGCATTTCAAAACCCTTAACACTGCAACCCATGGCCAACAGTGCCATTGAAAAAAAGCCAAGATTAGTCCCAACATCAAGTGCTAGTCCGCCCTTTACGCAAGCATCCCTGGCGAAGTGTTCCAGTGCCTTGAGCACATGGACATCCCACAATCCAGAATCCACAATGGCTTTGCTTATCATAATATCAGATACATGATCATGCACCGCGATAGAAAAAGGTGACTGAGCTCTGGAACGTGCTATCACGATCGGCTTGCCAGCACTGCTGAGCAAGTCCAAGCACGACACCTGACCCCGATTTGCTATGTCGGTACCGTCAGTTGTTTGGGTGCTTCGGTGGTTCGTATGATCGGCGCCGGGTCGAGTGAAGCTCGGCGCCACTAGGACCGCCGGATGTCGAGAGACTGAGAGTAGAAGTACTAATAATAACGCGACGAGTGAAGCAAAAATAGCAATAGCAATAGCAATAACCCGACAATTGCATGCTTTATTTATTCCGTGACAGGTTCTGCGTGTAACCATGACGATATGTCGCGATATCGCGAGATATCGATCTTATCTTCGCGTGCGCAATAACCAATGCTGTACGCGACGTAACAAAAGACCAAGAAGTTGGCAGAACATTTACGTATCTAAGGTTGCGCAAGAGCTCCCCCAATTAATTTGGCAATTATAAGGCTGAAGAAGAGATTGCTAAAAGTCTAAAATTTTGGCAAATTTTAGAGAATTTTTTAGAGTTTTGGAGATTTTCCGACTCTAAAATTCAATTATAGAGACGGTCTTCAGCACGACCCAAGCTTCGCGGTTCTCGTCGATGATGTATGCGCCCGTTCTCGGCGACACGATGTAACGTGATGTTACTCAACGATTCGTAAGGTCGCTCGTCGCGTCGCTCGTTGACGAGATAGCCCAATCTCTATCTGGCTAAATCACGATCTATGAATCGTGATGCTGACGCGCATCACAACTTTTAGGCTCGTGATGCAGATCTTGATGCCGATTTTACCCAATGGGGGCGGGGGACTTGCGCAAGACACCCCGAAACTGCCGCAATTTGCGTTGCACTTGCATCTTGCAGGTGCAAGATGCCCCCATTTCCAGAGTAGGGAGGAAGACGCCATTTGTCCGAACATTATCAGTATACTGTTTACCCATACGATCACCCTTAAACCCTAAACTAAACCCTAAACCATACGATAATGATGGAAAGGCGGCTGTCCTTGTCAAAATGCTCAGTCCCGGGGGTCGACCTTGACCCCTATTCCGGTACCTCCTAAGCCTATTCGACCAGCCCGCGGCGCGCCTGCACAGACGCCGCCGATTACTCCTGTGTGTAATACTTATACGTTCTTTTGGACTATCACAATCGACTACGAGAGCGATAGCAACTGGGCTACGCGGGCGCGCGGTTTGCCAAGGCGTGCGCGTTGCTTGTCGACTGCTTGTCGACCGCGACGCTTGGATCAAAGGGTCACAGGACGATTCCTGAATCGTCCATCTTGTGGTCCCTTTACTGCTCTCCGATCAGGACTCATTCGTTATCCAAATGATCTTGTCCTGCTTGCGCGACGCGTGTTTGCCTTTACAATCATTCTCCATATTTAGAGCCCTTTGAAGATAGGAAAGAGCCGAGTCTTTCCATCACAGCGTGTACCAGGTGCAGCAGGCCTACTCACTCGTCGCCGTCGAAGTGGTCGAAACCACGACGGGCATTTCGGCACATCTTTCTTAACCTCTCACGGACTAAAACGTCTAGTCGCTTCCCGAGCGAGCTCGCGCCCCTTCGGGAGGGCGTGGCTAAATCTCAGGCTGTCTTCTTAGGCCTTCGTCGTGGCTGTCGTGCCTGGCTACATTTGTTGAAGAACACGAAATTCAACCGCGTAAAGTAAGTGATGAACGATCTACGAATATTCTCTCACTGGGAAGAAGAATGGCCGCACACAGCGTCGATGAAAGCATTTTTGGGTTGTATTCTGACGAGCACTCGTGTCGGACTAGTGCTAGTCATAAATGCTCGACTTGCAGGAAGCATTTTGAGAGGAAGGATAAAAAACGTGCGTGCTCTGCCTATGTAAACAACGTAAAAGAAGTGCAAAACGACGCCATGAAAACAAGAACACTTTTGCCAACAAGCGAAAAAGTAGTACAGGCGCTCAGTGTAGAAGCTGCAAGCGCTGTGGTCGTTCGGCTGCTGACTTTTTCACCGGTTATAAAACGTGCAGAGCTTGTATACTGGCAAAGCGGCGGAAAACGAAGTGTATACCTCAGAATGAACTGGTTGCACGCGGAACATTCGACTATGACGTCTTCGACTGAACATCCGAAACGTTTTTCTTCGCTCGCCACAAATCACGTGTGCCTTGAGTTGCGTGACGCATACAACGCAGGCTGGCTCTGTGCTCACGGAAGGAACACAACTTCTCAGATCAGAGGCGTTCGTTTGTGAGGAGAGGTTTGTGAACCTTACATCAGTCCTACATCTCTCCAAATCACAAGATAAGGAGGATATGTTTTTGATATCCAACTTTTTTAAGGGCTTGTGCGGCGGCACCTACCTGGAACTTGGGGGATCGGATGGCGTGACATTTTCAAACTCGCACCTTTTTGAGTTTGCTTTCGAGTGGAGTGGTGTTCTGATAGAACCGAATCCTTCCAGTTTCGAAAAGTTACAGAAGAACAGATCGAATAATCATTTGCGTCACGCAGCTATCTGCGAGTCTGCTCAAACCGTTCATTTTGTCACTGAAGGCCATGGCGCAGTTTCGGGAATTTACGAGTTCATGGCCCCTAGTTTCCGAGAACAGTGGTATCCGGATCTCAACAAATCTTCAGATTTCACTCGTCCTAAGCACGTCGATTAATCTTGAGTACGCCGCTGTCCTGCTTGACAGAGAGGACGTACTCAAGAACGGAAGGGATCGCGCTGCCAGGATCGATTTCTCTGGGCTGAACGAAAACTCGTCTTTCGAGCGAACGCGAAAAGCGCCTCCAAGCGTCGCACGTGGTCTTCCGCGCTGCTGCTATGCACGACAATATCGTCCAAATATGTTGCGGCGAAATTTGCGCGCTACCGGAACGGCGTGTTCAGGAACATTTGGAACGCAGCACCGGAGCCAGAATCTTGTACCTGAACGCTTTCATTAAACTCATCATCTGCGAGTTCCATGTGACGATATCCTTCCACGAGATTGATCGCGCTCAGAAACTGTGTTGAAGAAGCGCATGTTTGCTCGAAGAGCTGCAAACAGGCAGGGTGTAATTGTGGGATTCAGAGCCATGAAATCGCGAACAAGACGTGGGTCGATAAGCGATGAATGCTGTCGCATTCACTCGACCACGTTGAAATGTAATCTAGCGCTTAAAGACGCACAGTCGCTCGAAGAGTTTTGCATAACCTTCCTGGAGTTCTCTGGGTATATCGAGCGCTCCTTGCACGGCGACGACGCCAGTCGAGTATACTTGGTTTCTATAGCGATGTAAAACAAACCAATCGATGACTCTGTGCTTTTCTGACACGTCGAGTAAGTCTGTCAACATACTCTCAAATACTCGCCCGTTGGCGATGTAGAAGTGAGAACCTCTCATGTCGCAACCGCTCTCGACCATCCGGCATGTATTTGAACCAAACTTCGCACAGATGCACGAACTCGGGCACACAATCGGATCTTCGAGGTGAAATCCTGTCGACTTTTTATGTTGAGCTTCCAAGAAGAACGGTCTGTAGCCGAGACGTATGAAACTCCAGTCATCCGGGCCTTGTAACACTGCCCGCACGTCGTCAATCAACCCGCCACGCACAGACTCGGCGAAAAATGCGTCATCCTCTACAATCGTCACGTGTTCGTACCCTTGAAGATGTGCGTACATGAAAATAAATGCATGTGATATAGAAGTCGCGTAAGCGTGCCTCCTGATCAATGCTTTAAGATGTTTCGGAATACACGAGTCAACCACCTTGCCCTTGACGCAAGCCCAAGGTACGTTTGGTAGAGAGAACTTGCACTCGAGCGTCGTGAGAACAAAAACCGCATCGGTCAGCGCGAGCAAAACTGCAAGATCAGAGCTCAGACTTTTCTTCGCGCTTTCGTGTGAGGGGCTCACGAACTCAAAAGCTTTACAGTTACTCGTCATGTCTCTGAGCGCGCGAAAGGTCGCGGTGGTAGTTCTCTTCTTGTAAGCAATGTCACGAACACGGATAGACAACGAGAGTGAGACGACAAGGAAGCACGCCATGACGACTCGAAGCGTATTTGAAGCGGTTTTCGTTCGTTGTCCAGGTTTTGGTGTCCAGTTCTGCATAGCTTTCGAGGTGTCCATCAACCCACGTTTTGAGAGCTGTCGTTTGACCTGTCGTGATCGCTGTCGTTCTACAAAAGCGTGTGAGTGCAGGGTACAATTGATGATCGCGTTCTAAACGTGTAAAGATCTCCACTTTGAGTACAACACGGGATCCCATAACTCCCCTTTATTTGGAAGCCCTTCATGTATGTTGTGCGTTGAGAGCGCTGGGCTGATACGCGACAACATGCACCTACATCGCATTTTGAGATGTCAAAGTGCAGAGCCCTACACGTGTGAGCTCTCTCCGCTCGAGTAGCCAATCAAAACAGACTGAGAAGTCGCTCGAGAAAATGACTAAAACGAGGAAAAAAGAGGAAAGAAAGGAAAGAAGCGACAAGACATAGCATTCCAGTGTGTTTAGCGTCATTCCGTCGCTCACGTCGTCGGTTCGGCTTCACGTTGATGCATCTCGCTGACACTCTACCGTGACCTTGACCGTCACTTAACTGTGAAATCACTGATCGCTGGGGGCTTGAATCGTTGGGAAATCGACTTCTACCTCACGACTTAGTCGCGCCAAGGGCTCCAGGCGCAACGTTATCGAAATATAGTGAGATCGCTGTTGCGAATATCCATTTTACCAGTTCTAGATGACGTACCGACGCTAAAATCCTTCAACTCAATAGCACAGCAGTTGCTGACTGTACGTGTGATACCTCAAGGAAGCGCACGCGTACGGATTACTCACCACACTCCGTGTGTGTTTCGCAACGCACGTTAACTTGTTTGTGCGCTCATCGAAGTGGGCGTCATCGCATGTTTTCAAGTATTCCCCACTGACGACGTCGAAAAGATTTGAGTGATACTCACTCGGTAGCTTTCGTTTGCTCTGATGCTCTGAACACTTACTGAAACCTGCAACTGTGTCTTCCTCTGATCTTTTAACGATCGTTTTATGGATTTTCGTCCGCGAACACGTCGTATGACTATCACCGCGCGCAGACGTACGATAGTGCTGCCAAAGGGCGCTTGCGAAATCTAAAGGACCTTCTCTGTTAGTGTCATATCCTCGGCGTAAGTTTGTACGAACAAAAACTTCTTCCCACATCAATGAAATTCGATGATACTCAGCACGATTGTGTGCGTTCATTTTCGCTGATATCGAACCGAGATCGGCGGTCTGGGTAAGTTCTATGGCGTGCGCCCAATCGTCGAAATACAGCAAGTATGGGAACGTTTTTTTCTGGTAGATGTCGTAGAACGGTATCCAATGTTTCGCATCCTCCACACGGAAGCTATTTGGCGAAGGAGCTGTCGTCTTCCGCGATAGAACATTCGCTGGTTCACCGTAAATTCGCTCGAAGAGCATTCTGTGATCCCTCATCCACCGCAGAAGGAGTTTTTCAGAAGGGACGAGTATGGGCACACCAAGCCTGTATAGTTCAAAAAAAGACATGACCGACGCCTGATATGGAATGAATAAAAACATTGGGAACTCTCGCAAATTTCTTATGTGGGAGTAACCTCGTGGATACGCCTCTGCCATCGTCACGATGTTAAAGTCCACACTCGAGTGTGCCTTGATAGTATCAATTTCATCAAATATGGGATGATTCAGTGGAGCATTCACGACGGGCTTGGTATGCATATTTGGCCAGCCGTTCACGGGGATATCAGATGCATGATATTCGAGATTAGAGCGGTAAGGTGTGAGTAGAATATCCAACCGAGTAGGCAGATACGAGTCGTAACGCATCAAGTCGTCCAGACTTGGTCCAGACCACGATGGAATTACCTCGGGTCTGATTCCAGTGAAGTACTCCACGTACTTTGAATCGTATTCATTGTTAGCCAGGACAACGTTGTACTCGTTGGCGGCAATCCTCATGAAATTATCGATCCAAGCTTCCCACGCTTTCGCGGAGTCTGCTCCGCGCACCCATGGTTCTCTCCACGGTACGTGTCGATCATCGCGTCCGAACTCTAGGCGCGTCGTGAGATAGAGAATCATAGGCTTACCAAGAGGCATGTACAATTCACAGTTCGCCACTGGATGTGAGCACATGACGGCTCCAACTTTTTTGAAATCTGGATCGTCTGCGTACGCATAGTAAAAGTTCTCGCGTGTGTGCGCTGGACAGGGATGGAGACCGAAGCCGTTCCAGTCGTTGTTCGCGAGCACTTTCAATCCCTTGACGTTCGCGCATACGCTCTCACCATCATCATTTTTGAAGTACATGCAATTGCCGAAATCGATTCGAGCATCGATTTTCACGTTAAGCCCAGAAAAAATTGCAGAATTGCCTGCAAATGGCCCGGCGTGAAAATCAGTCGTCCAAACAGTGGCGCGCCTCTGTAGCGCCCGTGCCTCGAGGTCATACACGCTCGTAGAGTTGAAATCACTCGTCTTTGTCGAACCGGTGTAAAAGTTTGTGGATGGATAACGCGATGAGATTTCGTCCACAAAGAGTCGTCGATTCGATTCGTGAGAGGCTCTTGGCCGTCTGCGCCGTACGTGTGGCGTACTCGAAGCGAATGTCCAACGAAATTTGGAAGCGCACTTGAGGCGACCGTGGACTACTTTGACTTCTCCACAGTTCGAAGGGTTCTCCAACGTATATTTCGCTCCACGACGCACGTGTAACGTTTTGTCGTCGCCGCCAATGAACTGCCAACCATCAGCAAAAAGTCGAAGAAAATGTGCAGGTGGATCATCTGGACAGTGAGCGTTAGGTATCACCGGCGGTGTGCGTCTTTTGCACGCCTCTCGTGCGCTCAGTTTGCAATAGTTTTCAAAGTCATAAAGGTGAGGAATCGTGAAAAAACGGCGAGACTCCTTGGCGATCGTGGCCATTTCTGCCGGCCCAGGCATCGCGTGAATGACATTCACGAAAGAAGAGATGACCGCTAGTTGCAAACTTGAGCCGAAGTATTGCATCAACGTCGCGTCAGCGCTTTTAAACTCACAAGCGTGGTGTAAGCGATGAATGAGTTTCAACCGGTTCGTGTTTTCCTCAACGAGCAAAAATATCTTGAACCACACACTTATTTCGCTCCTCGAAGGAAGCCTTCCAACAGCTTGCCAGTGAAGCTTTGATAGCTCGTTTTCTTCTTCTGCGTTTAAATGTAGTCGGTTCGATAGACGAACGTGTGCGCGCTCTGTTGGCGACAAACGTTCATATTTCCCGTGAATCAAATACGTCTCTGGGTACATGGTTCGAATCGTTTGCAAGTCGAACGCCGAAGCGCCAAAATTGCGAATAAAAGGATCCAATCGAAACTTGTAATGAACGTGTTGAAATCTAGTCGATGAGTCGGAGCGCCGTGCCCGATACAATGCGTGATCATGACCGTTGAACTCTCCGATGTACTTATCGCCGAGGCACCCCATCGGTGGAAACAGCTTGCGCATCATGGCGCGGTACGCAGCGAATTCTGGAGAACTCACACAATAGAGCGCGTTACCATTGATGTGCAGATCAACATCCCTCGTGCCGGTGCTAGTTTTAAGGAAATCAGTGACGCTGTCATACGAAGGCTCACTGCCCAGCTGCCACCACAGATCACACGTCGGATTATCCTCGACGAGGAAAATTGCCCGCTCCAACCATCCCGTCCTAATGGGGAAAACATCGGGCTCGTATTGTAGCCAGTGTGAAAAGCCAAAAATGCGTGCGCGCACAAAGGTCCTATGAAACATTACGCACGGTCCCATGGGGTAAACGTCTTCCTCCGCGCTCAAACCAGCCGACCAGAGCTCCACCGACGTGAAACAGTTTTTCACTTCCCGCGAAAGACTGCGCCAGAAGTTCTTCACGTCGTTGATTGCACCGACGTCGAATATTTTATTATGATGTAAAATAAGCGTGACCGGACTGCTAAGCGCTCTTGTACACGGCTGGGTGTGTTGCCAAGACTGAATGCTGGGCTTGAGTCTGCCTTCGAATTGGCATTCAAGAAAAGGCATCACGACGGCCAAATGAACGCTGGAATTCTGGAGATGGCTGGGGGGCTCTTGAATGAACAGGCGCTGGACCTGGGTTAACGACGAAGAATTCTGCTTCCTCCCTGTAAACACGGGGGAGTTCCACACGGGGGAGTTCCTCGACTTGGTGCGTGGTGGGTTTACATATTTCGTCATCCGCAGTGCCGCGAAAAATATCAGGCTAAACGCACACCAACGCCGCGCTGTCTTTCGGTGAGGCATAGACCTCGACCGCCGTAGCCGTGTTACTTTGCCCATGCTCCGCTAGGCAGAATCGATGAGATTTACTTACTTGAGCCCTCAACCGATTGGCGCTTGCCACGTTCACTGTGTGTCGGGGAAAGTTGTGTGAGACACGACGTGTACGATTAAGTAGTCGTCCTCAGACTCTTCGAACCTACAGTCGTGGTCGACGGGTGATCGAGAAGCATCACGAGCACGCGCGCGCCCTGGTAGCGCGCGCGTGCTCGTAGGTCAGTCAGTGCTCTCTGGGTTGGGGTTTGTCACCGGTCGGGTGTTTGATTATTTACAGTCTCAATCAAGGTGAGACCGAATGTCCGAATTTACTAAGTAAACAATTACTAACTAGCGGTACTACTAGTAGTATTGTACCTTATAATACGCATCTTGGTCGAACTCGTGTGCCGCGCGGATACTCGTCCTTCTGAAAAACTCTTAGACGGTCCGGTCCGCGAGTTCTCTCGCGCCGTGGACGGTGAAAAGCGCAGTCGGGTCACGTCGCACTCTCGATCGGTGTTTTCGCCCGTACATCCGCACACGACGTCGTGCGCGTCGATCGTCTCGCCTCGTGGTGTCTCACCCAGCGCTCAATCTGTATCGTCCCCGAGCCGATCTCAGCTTGTAGCATCCGTTTCAGAGACTTATCGACGCCGTATCGAGTGCCGTGATGTCCCGTGTGGTGGTGGACGCGCCAATTCGACAACGAACGCGCCCTCTGTGCGTACACGCGCGTGATCCAGTCGTCGATCCACACGTTTTCGAAAACTGTGGGGTAGTAGTCGCATCTGAAAATTTCCATGTGCGTCCTGTGCACGACGTCGTGCGTCAAAATGCGCGCGTTTACGTTTCGAGGACCGTGAACGACGGGTCCGACGACTCCAACGTTGGGCGGTGTGTTCCTCATCAACTCATCGATCGCTAGCGACGTCCACGACTTTGTCAAAAACTGCGTGTCGTCATTTATCCGTACCAAGTAGTCGTTCCCGTCTTCAAAGGCGCGCTCGAGAATTTGATTGAACGGAACGCGTCTACCTGTACGTCGATACGATTCGACGACGACGCGCATCGCATCACCGACCACGGACTTGACGTACGATGTCGTGTCGGCCTTCGTGAAAAACACGTCGTCGTCGTCGACGCCAATGTACAGGGAATACCCGTACCCGCGCTCCACCGTCGCCGCGAGCGAGGGCAACATGATTGAAGTGAGCGCTAAGCTTTGCCATCGCGTATCGACGACGCCGCGCGACGTGGCGCATAAAACGACCGCAATGGTGAGGTTTGAACGCGCCCATCGCGCTTCGGCGGCGCGCTCTTCGTCGTGCGTTCTCTTCACGCTCTCGAGAGCCGGCGCCCGATGACCGAAGACACAAAGCTGAAACGCACAGAGGAACGACGTGAGCGTCGTCAACAGCACAAATCGTCGCCTCATCACACGCCCTCTCGACGGGACACGCCACGAGTCGCCGCGCGCGAACGAGTTGGGAGACGTCGTCCGGGCGGACGCGCTCATCTCAACACGTCGAAACGACCGTGGGTCTCGATCGGCAACGACGCGTCATTTCAACGCATCGCACCGCGTGGGGTCATCTTGTGTGATGTCAAAGTGACGTAATCGTGGGCACGTCGTCGCGTTATGAAGTGGGCGAAGAAACGCGACCGAGGTGCTTTTTCGTTTTTGTATTTTCTGGAGATCTGACGCGATTCGTCGCGGATGGGGCGAGACGTGCGCGCGCTCTCGGAGTTTATCGATCGCAAAACGCCTGGAATACGCGTCGATTGGGCGGAGACCGACGACGCGGTATCGGCGAAGCGTTGGAGGGCGTGGACGTTCACGTACGAGAAGTACGCACACGCGTCGTTCGCGAACGCGACACGCGTCGATTTCGTGTTAAAGGCGGATACCGATACGTACGTGCACGGCGCGCACTTGTTGCGGTATTTAAATCGTTTCGACGCGACGTTGCCGCATTACATCGGTCGACAATTCGTCGAGCGCGGCGTCGCGTTCGTCGCCAGCGCGACCATCGTGCTCAGTCGAGAGGCGTTGCGACTCGTCACCGTGGCGAGTCGCGACGGCGTGGGCGCGTGCGCGCGGGGAAAATTTACGGCGACAAAGGCTGAGGACGTCGCGTTAGCGTTGTGCCTTCGAGACGTGGGCGTGTATCCACACAACTCGCGCGACGCCTCGGGGGCGGAGCGGTTCATGGTGTTCAGTCCGCAGCGCATGCGCGCTGGATCCGAAGGCTTACCGCGCTGGTACGTCAAACGAACTATGAACGCACAGCAAGGTCCGGGGTGCTGCAGTGACGAGGCGATCTCTTTCCACTACGTCTCGACGGACGAACTCGCGCGCGCGCGACTCGTTCGCGCGCACGGCGCGTGGTCGTGGACTCCCGCCGTCGCGTCAGAGCCGCCACCGCCGTGAGCGGTACGACACGCGCATATGTTTAGCTCAGTTTGTATCAATGACGTCGTACCACGGAGTGTGTGAAGACTGCGTGAGTGAAGACGGAATGAAGAAACGCGTGGGGTTTACCCTTTTGGATACGCGAAGGATCACTATACCTAGCCGTCGTTCGCGCCGTTTATGTGGTGATCGCACGCGCGTTAGCGCGAAGCATACCGCTGTACTTGTGCGTATTATCAACCGCATCGTCATCGCGTCACGCAATCTGTCGCACGCCGAAGGAACCTCGAGCACAACGCGGGCGTCTCGCGTCTCGCCGCGACGACGCGACTGCGTACAAGAACACGTCGGTGCGTGGGATGACGTGCGCGCGACTCGGACGTCAGCGTTCGTCGCTCACACAATGCGAGCGTCTCTGTAGTATTCATACGAATGCTCAGAACGCGGATGACGATGCGTCGGGGACGCGCCAGTTCGCTATAACCGGCGCGTCGCGTCGTCGTCGCCACCGATCCGCGTCCATCTCGCGGCGGCTCGATGCCACGACCGCGAGACGACGCGCGAGACGTCGTTCGCGTACGCACGCGTCGATGTACATACTCAACAGCGTCGTGGAATCGAGCCCGCGCGACCTGTATCTATTTTCACCGTCCCGTCGAAGCGCTCATCGTCCACTCACGCGTTCTTCGTGAGACACGTCCACGCGCTCGGCGGGGGCACATCGACGTCGGCGGCGACGACCATCCCCTTGGCGCGCATCGACGCCCGCGCGCGCGCGTAGTAGCGCGTGAACAGGGCACACTTGACCGTCCCTTTGAGTCCCGCGAGATGCACGATGAAATCGCCCGTTTCGTAAAACCACGGCTGCGAGTCGAACGCGCACGCGTGCACGATCTTCGTCCTCGCCCGAACGGTGTTCGCGTTGGGATAGATTGGTCCCTTAGTGACCTCGCGCCCGCGCGTCGACGCGTAGAGGTGATGCAACGCACGCCGTTCGTCCTCGAAGACGCGCTCGCGCGCCCAGAGTTCATCCAGAAACCACAGCGTCCAAGGCGTGTTTCGCACCAACCACACCCCGCAGTGCACCCCGTTTGAATCCGCGGCGAGGACTTGATCGTAGTCGACATCGACGATGTCCTCCAAACCCGTCTCGGGGTTCATCACGACGACGTCGACGTCC